TTGTACATATCTTCTAACTTTTTGTATTTTTTGTAATTGTGTAGACAATTAGTTATTGTCAACATTTAAAGTAAATATCACAAAGTGCGGTAAAACATGTTTCTAACAACTGCCTAATATTCCATTATCAGTAGACAATTTAATCAACCCAGTATTGTTTAAATTGTCTTTTAAGTCAAAGTTTACACAGAAAATTAGATTTCTATTTAATGAATCCTAGACAAAATGTTTTGTGACATTGATTACAATCCCTATGATGTATCAGCATTCTCACTGTTTCTTCTCTATCTGCCTCTTTCCATCCTTCCAGTTTTCCTTTTCCTCCTCACCTCTTCATCTTTGTTTTGTGTAAATGTTGACTGGTCTCTTGTAGTTGATTTTTCGTACATTCCTCATGATACTATTTTTTATTTTATAGGCTAATCTATTTGGCTTAAAAGTGATCTCTGAAAGTGACTTCAGTTCCTGCATTAAAGAGTATCTTGGGGCAATAGTCTTGGGGTTCTTCAGTCCAGTACGGCTCATCTTTCTTATGATTTTGAGTTTTGTCTACATTTTTGCCCATTCTAATAGGACTTTCTGTTCTATCTTATTGTCCTGTAGAGTCAGAATGGTCAGTAGTGGTAGCCTGGCACCATCTAGTTCTTCTGGTCTTAGTTATAAGAGGCTGTGATTTGCATGGATCATTAGTCCTGTGGACTAATTGCTTCCTGAGTCTTTGGTTTCCTTCATTCTCCTTTGCTCTAGATGAAAAGAAACATATAGTTGTATCTTAGATAGCCACTTTAAAGCTTTTAAGTCCCCAGGTGTGACTCACCAAACTAAGATGTAGAACATGATCTTTATGAACTAAATTATACCAATTGACTTTGTTGTCCCAAGAGAATATGTCAATCCACCAGAAAACCTAGATGGTGCCCAGCTACCACCTCCAACTGCTCAGAAAGGGAGCACATTGGAAGGCCTTGGATAGGGTGGGAGCACAGTGCTCAAGGCAGACATTTTTTACTAGTTAAGCTTATACTCAGTTTTAAGGAGACTTCAGAGGATAATTTTGATATATGGCCTAAAGAATATTTAATAGGGCAATAGTTTCCGGGCTTCATCCACCTTCCATGGCTCCAGAAAGTGTAGAGTCCATGAGAATTTGAAATTCTGTTCTGAGATTATTTTGATCAAGATTCTTCTATGGAATCTAATCAGAATATTCAGTAATGTACACCTGGTTCTTCTGGTCTCATGGTAGAGGAGACTTGTTCATGGAGGCAACTAGCTATACATTCCATGTCATTGTTGTTAAGTGCTGTCGAGTTGGTTCCAACCCATAGTGACCCTGTATAGAGTTTCTGAGAAGCAGCTGGTGAGCTTGAACTGCCGACTTTGAGTTTCAAACCAACTTTAATGCAGTCTAGCGCATTAACCCACAACACTGCACATTCCGTATCTTCCTCCTATTCCTGACTCTCCTTTTTCTGATGCTCCAAGTAAATAGAGACCAGTTGTGCCTTGAATAGCCGCTTACAAGCTTTTAAGTCCTTAGGCAGTACACAGTGAAGTAGGAGGTAGCACAGTAGCGCTAAACACATTATCAGGCCAGTTAACTGGAGTGTCCCATGAAACCCTAACTAAACCTGGGAACCAAATCTTATGAGGTGTTTACTTGTATACAAACAGTCTCAGCAGCTATTCTTTTTCTCTCTTTTCAGCATAGTAAATATATCACACAATTTTTCCCAATTCAACTTCTTACAGGTGGACTTCCCACTTGTTGACAGTAATTACAATAATCAGCTGTGCAACCTTACCTGGTATGATTTTCTCATCACTGTTAATCCCCCTTTTCCTCCTCCCTCCCAACCTGGGCAACCACTTTTTATAGTTTGGTCTCTATACATTTACCTTTTCTTGTCTTGTGGTATAAGTGAGGTCATATAGTAGTTGCCCTTTTCTGATTAACTTTTTCTACTCATCATAATGTCTTCCAGCTCCATCTATACTGTAACATGTATCAAGAGTTTACTTCTACTGGCTGAGTAGTATTCCATTGTATGCATTTTGGTTTTCCATCCATTTATGGGCATTTAGGTTGTTTCCACCTTTTGGCTGTTGTGAATAATGTTGAACACTGGTGTACATGTCTCTTTTGAACGTCTGCTTTCAAATCTTTTGCGTGTATATTATAGGAGTGGAATTCTTGGGTCATGTGATAGTTCTATTTTTAGTTTTGGGAGAACAGCTACAATGTGTTCCACACTGGCTATGCCATTTTGCATTCTCACGAACAGTAGATAAGGGTTCCAATTTCTCCACATCCTTGTCAACGTTTGTTTGTTCGATTTTTTTTGTTTTTGTTTTTTCCATTCTTATAGTAGTGAAATGGTTCCTTATTGTGGTTTTGACTTGCATCTCTCTGACATAAGATCTGAGTATCTTTTCTTGTGTTTGGTGGCCAGTTGAATGTCCTCTCCATAAGGTTTTCAGTGACTGGTTTTCTCAAAAGCAGCAAAAGTTTAAACGTAGTGATAAAGAATGGATTTAGGAAGAAGAATCTTCTGCCACTTAATGAATGCTTATTAATGTTAATAAATTGATGTTTTACATTCATTTATTCATCTTGTCCAAGGATCAGCAAACTTTTTCAGTAAAGGCCCAAGTAGTAAATCTTACAGACTTCATGAGCCATATGATCTCTGCTTCAGCTCCTTAACTCTACTGCTGCTCAGCTGTGGTTCTAGCCTGGAAGCAGCCATGTTGTTCATAAGAGCCATTCTGACTCACAGCGACTCTGTATAAGGTATCCGAGGAGCGGCTAATAAATTTGAACCGCCAGCCTTGCAGTTCAAATTGACCTTATGTGGATAATACATGCATGAATGGGCGTGACTGTGTTCCAGCAACACTTTTATTTATAAACTAAGGCAACTGGCCAAATCTGGTCATAGTTTACCAGCCTCTGAACTAGTCTTCCCAGGGACACAGAGAAAAGATACAGACCTGGCCTCTACTGGATTGTCATTTTTAACGTGGTCTTGATAGAATTACCTGTCAGTGTGCATTTGGACTCCAGCATGTATGATTTTTGAAAAGCTCTCCAGCTGAGTCTGATGCATATCTGTGGTGGAACGCTACTAGATAATAGTGGGTAAGACCGGAGACCTGATGTGGCACCGAGGGCTAATGCATCAGACTGCAAAGTCGTTTGAACTGCAAGGTCGCTGATTCAAGCTCACCAGCTGCTCCTTGGAAACCCTATACAGGGTCGCTATGGGTTGGAATTGACTTGATGGCACTAAACAACAAGACTGGTGGCTAAAATATAATAATAAACAAACACTTGCCACTATCAACTGCCTATTTTTCTAAGTAATTTATCTATTATTTTACTTAATTTTCAATACCTTCTATGAAGTGGGACTATTATCCCTATTTGCAGATGAGGACATAGGCATAAAGAGGAAATGTAACTTGCGTAAGTTCTTACATAGCTTTTATGTGATGCTGCCAGGATTCGGATGTCAGAGCCCATGCTCTTAATCTCTGTTTTATGCTGCTTCTTACTACAGACAGTTACACTAAAGTGGAAAGGAATACAGTAAATTCTGGATGTTTTCCAAGAGGGAAAGAGGGCTCACCCTGTGTAGGGGCCAGGAAAGGTCCTGAATTCACATGGGATTTCATCTTGTGAAGGAAGTGATGGGTTGTTTGGAGAGAGGGAACAGCCGGGACAAAAGGATCAGAGGTATGGAAGAGCATGGATCAGAGCATTCTAGGAACTACAAATAAGGCTTTAATCAGATTGCTTTATTACCCTTACTTTAGCTAGCTCACCTGGAAAATGGGGAGGATGACAATTCTCATGTCATAGATTGCTGTGAGAACAAAAAGATAATATGAATCAAGTTAGTCCAAGCACAAATTGGGAATTTGTAAGGCTAAGGAGCTCTAGTAGCATAGTAGTATGAGTCAGGCTGCTAACATCAAGGTGAGCAGTTCAAAACTACCGCTGTTCTGCGGGACAAAGATGAGGCTTTCTGCTCCTATAAAGCTTTACAGCCTCAGAGACCCTATACAGGGTCAATATGAGTAGGAAACGACTCCATGGCATACTACCACCACCAAGGTATTACATGTAACACAATGGAAGAAACAGACCTGGGAATTGGAAAGCCACATAGAACTAAGTCTCTTTTCTCTGTTCCCTAATGCTCTCTACACAGCTATTGTGTTCTCTTTCTAGTCTCTAGCCCACCTTGTAGAAGATAATCACTGCTAGCTTACAGGTTTAGATGTTATCATTTTAACCTTCAGGAGATTATTTATCCCACTTCTAGATTCCCAGGGAAAGAACTCTTCATTGACCGAGCATGAGTTAGGCTCCTTCCTCTGGACTAACCACCTTTACCCAGGACACTGATAATGTACAGCCTAGACTACCAGGAGCCACCCAGCCTCTTGTGTATATACTTTGGAGGGAATGGGGCAGTAGTATGTAGTTGTATCCAACTGTGGTCAGAAGAGTCTAGGAATGGCAAGGATTATGTATGTGATTACGAAACTTTTAATTACTAATTTACCAATATGTCAGCCTCTTTCTGGAGGCCCAGCTGTGACCTGCTTTACACAATCTGTGAGATACCCTGGCTGTAGTGTGTGGACTGTGGTATGGATGGAGCCTACTTTGATTGCAGGATAGGGATAAGGAGATGTGACTCCAAGGTGACCAACAGGGATGACTTTAAAGAAGCTGGAGTTTAGAATCCTCAGCCTTCTTCCTCTGAGTTCCAGGGGACCCTGCACTCTGAGTCACTGACACTTCCTTTTTCTCTTCTCAGGGAGATGGTACTGGAGTTGCCAGTATTTACCGAGGACCATTTGCAGATGAAAATTTTAAGCTCAGGCACTCAGCTCCGGGCTTGCTTTCCATGGTAAGTGATTAGTTTGAACTCAAGGTTTTGGACCATATTTATAGTTAACTTGTTCCTGGGTCCAGCACTGCCTCTGGGGATGGAATCAAATGCTTTTCTCCTTTTGGTTGGACCAGAACTTAACCTCTGCCACCCCAAACTCCTTCCTCAGTCTAGTTTGGTTCTTTTGGGTGGGGTCCACTGGCAGACTGGAGCCAGAGTTGGGCTCTGATGGATGTCTTTTTTCTCTCCTTTGTTTGAGCCAGTGCTTGCTGGGGACATTCAGCCTGACTGCTCCAGATCCAGCCTCAGGGTTCATTAGCTCTTTGCTATACTCACCACTGCTCACAGTGCCTACTCCCAGGCCACGCCTTTCACTCACTCACCTCCTCTTGCTCCACATTCCTGCTCCCTCTTCCTGATACCCCACACTCACTGGCTCACAGGGCCACCTGTCCACCTCACTTGCCCTGCCCCCACTCACTCCTCCATGCTCACTCTCCCTTCCCTTCCCCTGTTCACCCTTCATTCCTCATTTCTTCTCCCCTCAGCAAACCGTTGCTTTCTTCTCTCCAGCCTCCCCCACCAAGTTACCCATTTTCCTGTTATTTCCCCAGCCCTAGTGTTTACATGCACAGTCTCTTCCTGTTAACTCTCTCTTCCATGGACCGCTCTTCCTCAGACCTCCTGATAATACATAAGGATACAAGCATGCCCCCTGATCTCGTAATACTTAATGTCTAATAGGGCAATTACACATGCAAAAGGCCAGTCCCAGCAGAGTAATACATGCTCTCAGTGTACGAAGGAGAGGGCACCTCAGTGTGTGTCAAAGTACAGAGAGAGCCCAAAGGATTGAGTGTTGTTGCTGCTATGAGTTGGGGAGGGGCTCTGAGGAGACAGTCACGTTTTGAGTCTTTGGAGGAGTTCTCTACCAAATGGAAAAGGAAAAGAGGCCATTTCAAACAGAATAAAGAGTCTATGCAGAGATCTGTTCTTGTGAAATAATATCAGGGACCATCTTCAAGGAACAGACAGTGACCAGGGGTGATGCACACATAGGGATGAAGGAAAGGCCAGGCGAGACAAGTGAGAACCAGCTAGGTCCATCTCCTAAAGGGCTCTAAATGCCTGGATAAGGATAAGTGTGTGCAGTTTTCTTTCATAGGCTGGGGAGAGCCGTGCCACTTTTGAGCAGGCTGGATCATTTTTGTATTTTACAACAAAGGTCCTGGCTGCTGATAGGAATAACTGGGGTGGAGAAGCCTGTTAAGGGGCTGTCATCATGAATAGGTCATAAATAGCATCATGATAAATGGGGGAAAGATTGAAGCTGTCAAGGACTTCATTTTGCTTGGATTCATAATCAAAACTCACAGAAGCAGCAGTCAAGAACTCAAATAATATATTGCATCAGGCAAATCTGTTGAAGAAAAACCTCTTTAAAGTGTTTAAGAGCAAAGATATTAGTTTGAGAACTAAGATGCATCTGACTCAAGCCATCGTAAAGTGCCATGAACTGCCAGAAAATACATTTGTCTTAGAAGAAGTATAGCCAGAATGCTCTTTAGAAGCCAACATGGTGAGACTGCGTGTCTCATATTTTGGACATAGTATCAGGAAGGACCAATCCCTGGGAAGGACATCATGCTTGGGAAAGTAGAGGGTCAGCAAAAAAGAGGAAGACCCCCAACAAGATGGATTGACATGTGACAGCAGCAATGGGCTCAGAGGTACTGATTGTGAGGATGGTGCTGGGCTGGGCAGCGTTTCATTCTGTTGTGCATAGGGTCTTTATGAGTTGGGGACGACTCCACAGCTCCTAACGACAGCCATATAGAAAGCAATGTGCAAGCCCCTTTGATGGAAAATAAGACTGGACAACCACAGGTAAAGGGTGCAGAGTGACTTACCTGTTGTCATCAAGTCATTTCTGACTATGGCAGCCACATACCCTGGTGTTACTACTGTCTCTGGAAGGTTCAGAAAAATGGAAAGACGCCCTGGCCTCTGGCACCTTTAGGCTGCCACTGGATATACTGTCGCATATGTATCAGAATTGTTTGTGCATTCATTCTCCAAGAAATCATGAGTTTGTCAGGGGCAAGAGCTGGGCTACCATTGCTCTCCAAGCCTTACTACTAGCACTGAAAGGTTGCTGAGTAGATGTGGATAAATGACAAAGTGACAATCAGTAAGGGCTAGCAAGTGCTTTATTTGCATGAATTTCTTTTTATCATCTCAATGATTAGTACAAGCGAGGAAACTGAGGCACAGAGAGATTATGTGACTAGTCAGTGGGGGAGCTGGGATTTGAACTGGCTCCAGAGTGTTCTCTTAACTAGGAAACTATATTAACTGGAAGGATAATAAGCACTGGACCTCAAGGTCAGTTTGAACCTCAAGATCACTGGTTCAGATGCACCAGCTGTTCCTCAAAAACCCTATACAGGGTAGATATGAGTCAGAAGCAATTCAGTGGCACTTAACAACACCACCAAATGCAGAGAGGAGTCCTGGTGTGGCACTACAGGATAATGTGCTGGATCACAAGCTCAGTTTGAAATGTAATGTTGGTAGTGCAAATTCACCACCTACTCCTCGAAAACCCTATACAGGTCGCTATGAGTCAGGACCACCTTGAAGGCACTTAATAACAACAACATTCCTACAAAGACTGGGTTTACTCTGATAGGCTCAGGGCATCCCTTACTTTTGTATATGAAATGTTCTGAACACATTTACACAAAACAGAAATAGCTTCATCTTACATGGGAGATTTCTAAAATGTAATATAAGACCCCTAATTAGAGGTCGGAGTCCAGGTGTGGTGCTGTATAAACACTACACCAAAACGTCAGTTTGAACCACAAGGTCAGTGGTTCAAACCACCAGCTGCTCCTTGGAAACCTTATACAGACTTGCTATGAGTCGGCACTGACTGACTAGATGGTGCTTAACAACAATTAGAACTCATCCCTTAAAACTGTCTTTAATGCTTTTTCAATATTTTATACTCATGGTTTTTTTTTTTCCTTCATAGACAAATACAGAATCAAACAATTTAAATCCATTCAGCATTTGATTAAGGCTAGTGGCCTGCTTCCTAAGTTTTGTCTCAGTAGTGTTACGTTTATGAGACCTGTGCTTCCTATTAGTAGTTTGCCATTTTCCACTCAATTTTTTTCTAAAATTAGTGATGTATGCAATAAAATATTCATATATTGGCACAGATTATTTTATTGAAACTAAACTTGGTCTTGCTGGTGTACAGAAGTGTGAATGTAGTATATTAAAGGCAGTCTAGGAGTGTCAGTATCTAATGTGCGAAAGTACACCTCATTATGAAAGTTCTTTACAACATTTACTACTCAGCATTGTAATTACAGCCTGTTCTTTTCTAGTACATTGTTAAATATTGTGATAGAAAAAACAGTTTCAAGTGAAGAAAAGGAAGAGATAGGACTACAGAGTTTCAGATTCTCAATTTAATGGAATATTTTCCCTGTTGTTAAGTGCTGTCAAGGTGGTTCTGACTCAGCAACCCTATGCACAAGAGGATGAAACATTGCCCAGTCCTGCATCACCTCACAGTTTTTGTTAAACATCTTCTTTTGATGCTTTTTGCATCATTCAAAATTTTATCCATATTTTTATTGTCGTTGAGTACTGTCGAGTCGATTCCAACTCATAGTGACTCTGTATAAGGTTTCCGAGGAGCAGCTGGTGGGTTTGAATCGCCAGCCTTGTGGTTGAATGCTTATCCTACAGTACCATGCCAGGACTCCATTTTGTCCATAGAATCTTTCAAGGCATGAGTTTTTTCTTCAGTTCTTTCAGCTTGAGAAATGCTGAGTGTGTTCTTCCCTTTTTGTTTTTCTCACTACGGGATTTTTGCAATACTTCACTTTGTCATCTCAAGTTGTCCTTTGAAAATTTCTGTTCAATTATTTTACTTCCTCATTTCTTCCATTTGCTTTAGCATCTCCACTCTGAAGAGCAAATTTCAGAGTCTATTCTGACATTCATTTTGGTTTTTTCTTTCTTTCCTGTCTTTAATGACCTTTTGCTTCCTTTATGGTTGGTGTTATTGATGTCATCCTACAACGATTCTTGTCTTTGGTCATTAGTTTCTAGCTCTTGATACAGTCTCTAAATTCAGGTCACATATGTTCAAGGTCATATTTTGAGTTTCATGGACTTGTTTTAATTTTCTTCAGTTTCACTCTGAATTTACATAGGAATCATTGATGGTCTGTCTATTCCACACTTGTCCCTTGGCTTTGTTTTGGCTGATGATATGGAGCTTTTCTACCATCTTTTTCCATGGATGTAATCAGTTTGATTCCTGTGTATTCCATCTGGTGAAGTCCATGTTTTTTAAAAAAGATATTTGCGTATACAAGAAGAGGAAAGGTAGCAGAGGACTAATGAAGATAGGTGAAGACACAGGGAAGTATGCAGGTATTAAAGGGGATAGATGTAAATAGTGATGTATACACAACCTCAGAACAATTACAAAGTAGGCAGTTTGTTCTGGGTGTTAGATACATAGGTTGAGACATAGGCTGAATTGGTAATGGAGGGAGAGTGAGACATACATTTTTATATCCCACAAACATATAAGAATTTCAAAGAGAAAAAATGATAATAAGCAGCTTGGCAGTACATATTTGTAAACATCTTTGTTCCTTCTTCTGACACTCCATAGTATGTTCAGTATTCTTCCTCAACACCGTAATTCAAATGCATTGATTCTTCTTTTCCTGAAAATAACATGACTTATACCAGGCACACCTCAGTCCTCAAAGTGACATCTTTGCTCTTAAACATTTTTTAAGTCTTTTACAGCAGATTTGCCCAATGCAATACTTCAGTTGGCTTCTTACCAGCTGCTTCCATGGGCATTGATTGTGGAGCCAAGTAAAATAAAATCTCTGACGACTTTAAAAAAAAAAAAGGAGGGGGGGTTGGTATTAGCAATGAATAAGTCATTTGTCTTTGTTTTCAACCATTGCATTCCAATCAGTAATTATCAATACACCTTTGTTGCATGTTTGATCAATTTTAAACTGAAGAAGCTGGTTGCTGTTGTTGTTAAGTGCCATTGGGTTGGTTCTGACTCATAGCAACCCAGTATAAGGTTTCCAAGGAGTGGCTGGTGAGTTTGAACCACCAACCTTGTGGTTCAAACCAATATGGCGGTCCTGTAGTTACCCTATAGCGCCACACCAGAAGTTGATAGAAATCTTCAATTTCATCATCACTGACTTTAGTGGTTGGTGCATAAATTTGACTAACAGTGGTATTAACTGGTCTTCCTTGTAAAATTCAGTAATTAGGGGTTTTGTGTGTAACTGTAAAACCCAAATATGATTACTTAAGTATATTCTTTTTGTAGGCTAGCACTAGCATAACTGGTTCTTGTACGTTAAGATTACTATTAACATTTATTACCAATTTTATGAGATAGTGTTAAATCTTTCAGACAGGATACCTATTTGGTAGGCAACAGGTCTTGCTAACTGGTAGATAATTTGCAACTATAATTCACTTATAACTGTTGTTGTGTTCCATCGAGTCATTTTTGACTCATAATGGCCCTGTATAAAGTTTCCAAGGAGCAGCTGGTGGATTTGAACTGTCGACTTGGTGGTTAGTAGTTGAGTGCTTGCCTTACAGCACCGTTAGATAAATATAGCAAATTATGTCCTATCAATATTTACTCCCATTATATCTAATTCCCACTATAAAAACATACACAAATTTATTATGTTTCTGTTTGATGGCATAAGTTATACATCTTGTTGTTCTTAAGTACCGTGGAGTCGGTTCTTACTCATAGTGACCCTGCACAAGCTTTCCGAGGCTGTAAATCTTTACGGGAGCAGAATTCCTCATTTTCTCCCGTGGAACCGCTGGTAGGTTGGAACTGCTGACCTTGAGGTTGCAGCCCAACTTGTAACCACTATGCTACCAGAGCTCTTTAATGTATCTTAGACATACCTATATTACTGTACCCTATTAGTAGGGAGTTTCCTTATAACAGGTGTTTAGAGAAGGTTTGAAGAAGGTGTTAAGAAATCAGGGCTACAGGATGTTTTCGAAATCTTGCCCTTCAGCTAACATGACCAGAAAAACTCACAACAGATGTATTTGGTTTCCATCAGGCAAACAGTGGTCCCAGTACAAATGGCTGCCAGTTCTTCATCACCTGTTCTAAGTGTGACTGGCTGGATGGGAAGCATGTGGTGTTTGGTGAGTCCTTCTTCTGTCCTGTTGTCTTAGCCCTATTTACCCAGAGGGGCTTCCAAAGGGATCAGTCCCCAAATCTCACATCAAAAATGCTCAATTTATATAACTACTCTGGGTAATAATAGGGCAAGTGGAAGTTGTGGGATGATGTGGAGGAAATGTGATATGAGAAGGGACAAAGGGACCATCTGATTTGATATGTAATGACTTGGTGACACATATGTCTGGGAGGAAACCTGGATGTTTGCTCTAAAGATAGGCCACACACAAGACTGCATGGAACTGTGGCATCACTCAGACCTAGGTTTGAGCCCTAACTCTCCTAGATGTTATCTTGTGCAAGACATTTCACCTCCTCTTGAATCTCAATTTCCTGACTCTAGTAAGAGGGCCATATGAGATGATAATGGCTAAGAGTGGGCATTGGAAGGTGGAAACTGGTATGCGAATGAGAAGAATGAAGTCCAGCTCATACTCTTCCTACAGGAAAAATCATTGATGGACTTCTAGTGATGAGAAAAATTGAGGTGAGTCTTGTTTGATTTTCTCTTTTGGAGCCATTGTGGTGGGGTGCTTTCTGATTAGCTTGGAGCTACAGAAGGGTCAGCGGACTCCAGTCACTAGATCTAGTCTTCTTGTCTCCTGTTACATTGACTTTCTTGAAAGCAGAGGAGAGATGCCACCCCAAATTAAGTCTCTGTCTCGCCCACATGGAATCTTGTCACCTGGTGGCCTCTTCACTTGTGTGTTAAAATCCTACTCCAAGACGCTTCATGTTCTGGTCCCTGCCTACCCTCTCATTGACCCCTTCTGTCACTGCCTTGTCCGTGTTCCAGTTACCTCATGTTTCGAGATCTTCTGTAAATACACAATACACATCCTTGCCTCTTGCTCTTTCCTACCCCTATGCCTTTGCTCATGCTGTTTGCTATGTCTAGAATTCTCTCCTCCTCTCTTTGCCTTCTGATGAGATCTCATTCATCGTTCTAAGCCCACCTGAAATGCCGCCTCTTCTGTGAATGCTTCCCCAGCCTCGATAAGCAGTAATTTAGTTGCTTCCTCTGTGCTTTTGCATGCTTTATATACAGTGGAAACAAGTTAATGAATAAGAAATACCAAAGAAAAAGTAATACCTTTGAATTATGGTGCTGGTAAAAAATATTAAATATACCATGGACTGCCAGAAGAATGAACAAATTTGTGTTGGAAGAACAGACAGAAAGCTCCTTAGGGCTAGTTTCCTCTACTTTGGACTTGTTATCCGAAGGGATCTGTCTCTGGAGAAGGCTGTCATGCTTGGTAATGTCAGCATAAAAGAAGAAGATCCTTCTCTGCACAGTGACTACAATAATGGGCTCAAGAATAACAACAATTGTGAGATGGGTACAGAGCTGCACAGTTTTTTATTCTGTTGTATATAGGACCCTATGAGTCAGATCCGACTGGATAGCACCTAACAAAACATCTACCCTTTATATATATTATATAATTCACTTTTCTTGAGGTTACCTTATATTCCATTAACTTTTCCCTCCATTTAGTGTAGTCTATTTTGTCCTGTAGTCTACCTGATCTCACTATCTGGATCTCTGTTCCTATGTGTTTACCTTCTTTCACATTGTAATTGTTTTGATCATAGACTGACCTCCCAGATTCTTTGACTTTGTTTTTATAGTTTTGTTATGTTTTTGACTCTTCCTTCTGTTGATTTAGGTCTGGGAGGTGCTGCCACGTATGTCAGTCTCTGGTTGCTGTCTGTTCTTGTTGGTTCTCAGTCCGCAGAACTCCCTTTAGGATGTTTTGTACACAGGATTGGCTTTGGGAAAATCCCTTAGCTTCTGTTTATCCTGAAATGTTTTGATTATACTGTTGTATTTGATTGATAGCTTTGCTGGATAAAGGATTCTTGGTTGCCAGTTTTTTTCTTTCAGCGTTTTATATATGTCTCCCCATTGCCTTCTTGCTTGCATGGTTTTTGCTGAGAGATCCGAGCTTAATCTGACTTGCTTGCCTTTGTATGTAACACTTCTTTTTTCCCTAGCTGCTTTCAGGATTCTCTCCTTATCTTTGATTTTGGAGAGCTTGATTATGGTATGTTTCAGTGATTTTCTTTTGGGGTCTGGCTTTCCTGGGGTTTGCTGAGCTTCTTGAATGTTTATCTTTTCACTTTTCAGGTTGTTAGAGAAATTTTTTTCCAGCAGTTTATAATTCACTTTTATAACTTAATATATTGTTCCATATCAAAGGTTTGATGTTTTCCAGTTTCTCTTTGATCTGTTTTATATGTTTTACTTGTCTGCTGGGACATAACTTATCATATTGATCTGAGTCCTCCATCTTTAACACAGGGCCTGGCAGGCGTTGGGAAATGTTTCACAAATGAGTCTCCATCATGCTTTGTTTCCTAGAATGTTCCCACGGGCCCCAACAATAAGCCCAAGCTGCCTGTGGTGATCTCACAGTGTGGGGAGATGTAGCCCAGACCAAGACCGAATCAGGTAAGTGTGTCTTCTTCTTGATTAAGAGTCAGACCCCCCCAGGATACAGCATGGTCTAGTAGAAAGACTTGTAGATTGAAGACATGTTGAGGCCATTTCCCCCCTGTATGGCCTTGGAGAATTCCCCTCTCTTTTCTGAGCCGCTGTTTCCTCTTCTATCTAATGGTGGTATTACTTATCTCTTAGTGTAGTGATTAACAAATGGGCTGTGAACCTTCAGGTCAGCAGTTCAAAACTACCAACTGTTCCACGGGAGAAAGATGAGGCTTTCTGCTCCCGTAAAGATTTACAGCCTTGGAAACGCTGTACAGGGTCGCTATGAGTTGGAACCGACTCCACGGCACACAACAACATCATCAAGGGTTATTGTAAGGATCCAAAGATAAATGAACATGAGTACACTTTGTTTTTTTACCATTTTTTAATTTACAAAGCATCGACCTGAAGATTATACACACAGTTTAACAGCACTCTTGACTCTAATTCATTCAGTAGTCCCATTTGGAAGATTTGGCTCAACCCTTGTTAGCACCAGCGTGGGCAGCCAGAAAACAGACACCTGTTAACCTCTCATCAGAAATAATTCTAGACCCTGATTTTGTGTTTGCCAATCTTGTAGGTGAATGGCACACATGTCTAAGCCTGTATGGACTTACTTTCCAGCCATACTTGTCATTGCCTGCTGGCCTGCTATATATAAAGCATGATAACTCTGCATGGAAGGGAAACATTGAAAGACGGCAAGGAACTTACGGAGCGTAAGATGCCTCGCAGAGGTGATCACTACTAATATGAGTGATGTCGTTTTAATAATTGTTACAGGAGATTAGGGGAGAAATTGATCACTCATCTAGGTGAGGTGTGTTGAGATTTGAGTTTTCTTTTCTAAATGTTCATACCTACAAAAGACTTGGGACAATAGTATATTGAACACCCAAATACCTTTCACAAATTATTAACATTCTTGTTTTGTCATTTTCTGTTGATATTTGTTTTTTTCTTTATCCTTTTCCTTCCCCCAAACCTTTATTCTTCTTTCTTCTCTCTCTCCCTCCCTCTCTCTTTTTACCTTCCTCTGTTCTATCCTTCTCCATCTGAAAGTTGAAGACTTCTGAGTACTTTACCACTAAATACTTCAGCAGGCAACTCCTCAAAATAAGAGCATTTTGCAATCTCCCTGTAAAAATTTTCACAAAAAGCATATAAAGTAAAAGTCTCCTTGATAACATCCCGATACTCCTCTCCCCAGAAGTAACATCTTTATCAGTTTGATAAATGTCCATTGGGAGCTTTTATTTGTCTAATTCTTGCATGTTTTGGTTTCTGTAAATGGTTTCATACTGTATTCATTATTTCCCCACCCTCTATCCCCAAACATACACATATAATTTGGCATTGTGTCTTGAAGACTTTTCCATTTCAGTTTATGTAAAACTACTTTAAAAAACAAACTCTTAGATAATATCCTATGAACCTTGGTGGTGCATTGGGTTAAGCAGATTGCTTACTGAAAGATCAGCAGTTCTAACTACTGCTCCAAAGAAGGGTGATGACGGGCAATCTGCCATCATAAACACTTACAGCCTGGAAACCCTATTGTTAGTGCCATCCTGTTGGTTCCAACTCATAGCTACCCTTCAAAGGGTTTCCGAGGAGCGACTGGTGAGTTTGAACCGCCGACCCTGCAGTTCAAACTGACCTTGGGTTCCAGTGTTTTATCCTACAGTGCCACTTTCCTTTCATATTATTGATACAATATGCCAGTATAATCCTGGTGTGGTACTATAGGATAAGCCCTGGATGGTTGACCGCAAGATCAATTCAAGCTAACCAGCTGATCTTCGGAAACCTATACACAGTGTCATGATGAGTCAGAACCAACTTGATGGCACTTCACAACAACATAGTCACAAAAATTTTGCCATTAAGGTAAAAAATGTTCATTTATTTTAATTTAATCCTAAGGTTGAGCATATTTGTATAGATTTATTGATCATGTTGTCCCTATTCTTTGCCATTTTTTACCTTTGTTGTTGTTGTTGTTAATTGCCATTGAGTCAGTTCCGACCCATAGTGACCCTGTATAGGGTTTCTAAGAAGCAGCTGGTGAGCTCGAACCACCGACCATGCAGTTCATATGACTTTGCAGTCTGACGCATTAGCCCACAGCGCCACACCAGGACTTTAGGTCCTATTTTTGTTGTTGATTTTTAATGACTAGAAGTAGTTATGTTGTTGTTATGAGTATCAATTATTTATTTTTTAGGTTGTGACTGTTTTCTCCAGAATGGATATAAAAAAACTTGGAAATATGTTTTATATAGTAACTTTGATGCTATCCTTTGTCAAAGAAAAGTTTTAAGTTCTAATGAGGTCAAAATTATATTCTATTATAACTTCTATATTTTATTTCATTTAAGATGTCTATGTAGCGATTGGTTACGAGTTGGGCTGCTAACCCTCAAGGTCAGCAGTTTGAAACTACCAGCAGTTCCGTGGGAGAAAGATGAGGCTTTCCACTGCCATAAAGATTACAGCCTCGGAAATACTGCACAGGGTCTCTATGAGTCAAAACAGATGCTATGGCATATCACCATGTTACCTGAGATCATAATATCTTTTATATTTTTTTAAATTGTACTAGATTTTGTATTTGTACTTAAAACGTATCTGGAATTTATTTTTTTGTTGAGTGTAAAATAGAACTCTGCCTTTTATTTGGAATGGAGATCCATCCAGTCCAATACCATACCAATGTAATGACTGTACACACCTCTATCTGACATAGCAAACATTTATTACATGAATTACTAGGGAGGGAGAATGAATGCCAGGCATTTCATTAGGGAACTGGTGTGAACACATGTCAAGTCTAGAATGCATACATGTGTGCTAGAAACTGCACATGGTTCTCTCATGTCAAGCCACAGAGTCCCTTCCAGGCCCAAATTGACACCCGAGATCTTTCAGCCAATGCTGGTGGCCTCTAGGACTCAGCTGATCTCTTCCTTCAGTAACTGTCCACTGTTCCCACCCTCCTCTCTCACTCGGTTCTTTGCTGTAACTAAGGCTGAGCTCACAGGCCTTCCCACACCCTAAAGATTAACTACTGATCATTATTGGAGGACAGAAGATTTTAAAAATGAACAAAGCTTACTAGAAATTGTTTATAATTGGAACTTCTTTTTGTATTTTTCTAAATCCCTTGCATAAAGTTACTAGAAATCCTTATTTCTGAGTCTGGGAGTAATCAACTCTTCTCCCTTTCTCACCCAGTATTAGCAAAGGTCATGTGAACCCTGAGCCCAGGAAAGCCCTTCTCAGCTTGCACCCAGTGGACAACTTTCCTCAGGTGGCCATTTTGCATTCTAGAGGTTCTCTAGACCTGTCCTGTACACAGTCCTTTCTGTGATGATCGAAATATTCTATGTCTGAATTCTATGTTGTTGTTGTTAAGTGCTGTTGAATCAGTTCTGACCCATAGCAACCCTGTATAGGGTTTCCAAGATGTGGCTGGTGAGCTTGAACCAGTGACCTTGCGATTCACACTGACTTTGAAGTCCAGTGCATTAGCCCACAGCGCCACTGTATCTTCAGTATAGTTTGTTGTTGTTGATAGGTGCCATCGAGTCGGTACCAACCCATAGCGACCTTATGCACAGTAGAACGAAACACTGCCCGATCCTGGGCCAACCTCACTACTGTTGCCACGTTTGAGTCCATTGATGCTGCCACTTGGCCAATCCATCTCGTTGGGGGTTTTATTTTTCTCTGATCCTCCACCTTACCAAACATCATATCCTTCTCCAGCGACTGGTCCCTCCTGACAATATGTCCAAAGTATGAGAGACGAAGTTTGGCCATCTTGGCCTCCAAGGAGTACTCTAGCTGCACTTCTTCCAAAACGGGTCTATTGGTTCTTTTTGGCAGCCCATAGCACTTTCAGTATTTTCCAACACCATAACTCAAAAGCATCAGTTCTTCTGCGGTCTTCCTTATTCATTATCCAGCTTTCGCATGCATATGAGGTTATTAAAAATACCATGGCTTGGGTCAGGTGCACCATAGTCCTCAAGCTGACATCTTTGCTCTTCAACACTTTAAAAAGATCTTGTGCAGCAGATTTGCCTAATGCAATATATCGTTTGATTTCTTGACTGCTGCTTCCATGAGTGTTGATAGTTGATCCAAGAAGAACGAAGTCCTTGACAACTTCAATCTTTTCTCCATTGATAAGAATGTTGTTTATTGGACCAGTGGTGAGGATTTTTGTTTTCTTGACATTGAGATGTAATCCATACCGAAGGCTATGCTCTTTGATCAGTAAATGTTTTAAGTCTTTTTCACTTTCAGTATAGTAGTTCTTCAGTATAATAGTTTCTTCAGTTCATTGTTTCCCAAATTCTCTTCAAGATAAAAATGACTTGGGGAGCACTTGTTAAACATACTAACTCTTAGGTCCCTCTCCTGAAGTGTTTAAGTAAGTGAGCCTAGGGTTGGACCTAAGATGCTATGTTTATAATAAGCATTTCAATGCTTCTTGTCAAAGAAGTATGGGTTTAAATACTCCTTTGGTAATACTTGGGTGAATATCTTTAATATTTGCATCTTGGAAAAAATATGTAACTAGTACAACGCAAGAGTTGTACAAATATTATAGCTTAGAAACGGAAGTTCAAGTAGTGCTTAGGTTAAAAAATTAATTGCTCTTATGGATAGTTGAAAGAGAGCCCCCGTTATGAAATCACGATTCCTTTGTGCAGGGATAGACTTGGTAGTGGCATTTGGGTGGTTTTTTCCCACAACAATGGAATGTGCTACATAGAGGGATACAAATGTGGAAAGTCCAGTTCCTGCCTTCATGACGCTCATAGGCTCGTAGGAATACTAACGATTACAGTACATTGAAGTGCTGAGTGAGAGGTTTTAGGACAAGTGTCTGCCTGGGATAGTTCATAAAGACTACAGAAGAGGTGATG